ATATTATTAAATATTTATAAATATTTTAATTATTTAATATCTAAATGTTTCCTATGAAAAATATTTCTAATTATTATTCTCGTTTCCGCCAAGAACTAATAAATCATTTAGCATTTGATTATGTAAATGAATTCAAACGACATTCATTAATCTTTTTTTTTTATCCGATGAAATAATCGAAAAAATGTTTTGTGTTTTCAAGGGGAAATTTTTTTTATGGAAATGGAAAGATTTTGCTGGAAACCCCTTCAATATTTTGAGAATTTTATAATAATCACAACAATAGTAATAATAGCAGCAATAACAACAATACCAATTTTGACTTTTTTCAGTAGCCACTGTCAACATAATACATTAGACATTTACCCTATTCGAAAAGATAGCAAATTTTTTCCCAAGGCTCGTCATTTTCTGCACAAGTGCACCATTCTGTGAAGACCATCATCTCACCGAAATTAGAATATTTATACACCTTAAGATGATTTAAAACATATTATTTCAGTTTTTGTGTTGATTTAAACCTATGAACCTATGAGATTTACAAATGCAGTTAAATTGTGATGAAATCTGATCTTCACTTTACAAACTAGTAAAAAGACTCTCGAATATTTTTTTATCCTCGCAAATTTCATTCAAAAATTTTGAATTGCTATTTAAAAAAAAATAAACCGACGAAAAGTGACTGTTTTTCTCGCTATTTTTTGTCAATGATTTGTTAAATTATTTTTTTTACCTGAAATTACTTTTAATCAAGTTAAAAAAACCAAATTTTAAATTCCTTTAAATTGTAAATCCGATCGAGCGAATTTAAAACCGAAGATAATAAAGCTACCCGATCGTCCCCATAATAAATGAACCTAAAATATAGTTCATTTCTGTTTTTTTTAGACCAAAACGCAAAAGAATGATCCAAAAAAGGTATTAATCGGCAAATAAAAGATTGTAATTACGCGAAATCGCTAAAAGATGGAGATGGTCAATTTTTCCACCAATTATTAATTTTTTTTCTTTTTAAAACTTATTAAATGCATAACACAACGAATACTTGAACTGCCGTAACTTGTAAAAAAATAAAAGACAACGATTGGAAATGTGGATTTTAAGAAATAGATAAAGATCTCAAGGAACTATGAACAGTAACGAAATAAAGGTTGCAATTTTCTCAGAGACATTTCTGCAATCATTTTTTTTAGAAAAAACCTCAAGAATAGGGAAGCAACCGGGATTTAATCAAATTGATACCATAAGCTTTTAAAATTTTTACACTACTTCTCTACAATTCATTTTATTTTATTTTATAAGTAAATTATTGAAAACCAATATTTCCATTCAAAATAAACAGTATTCAAAAAGCTTTTGCCAGTATGCTACAAAAGCATTCATTCTATTTGTGGAAAAGACCAAGTTTTTCGAATCAGTGAACTACTGATATAGTTTTAACATTCTCTTGTTTTCAGAAGGCTTTTTCCCTAAGAAAGACGAGAGAACCGCAGAAATCATATTATGCTGGTGAAAAATCTGATGAACACGATGGATGGGGAAAGACTTCTAAATTCAAATCGGTTAATTTTTACGAAGTGATTCTTGCGGCGTGTGGTCCTGTTATCATGTATAATGATGGGACTTTTTCTGTTGAGCTGAATTCGTACTTTCTGGTGGCCATTTTCACTTTTTTACCACTCTACTATAATCACTACACTAGGTTAAGAAGCTAATCCTGCAGCATACCAAATAGAAATCCTCTTCAGATGAAGGTGTTTTTATATTCATTCATCCTCATGAAGCCAATGCACTGATTTTTCTCTGTTGTCATAAAGAATCCTTTTTTCATCACAGGAATTTCATTTATTTCATCCGATGGTCAGTAAAGTACAACTCGTGCTAAACCTATACAAATCCTTCTGGGATTAATCTCCACCAATTTCTTCAGAAACGCAAAGAAGTCTCGATAACCTAGAACATCCTCGACTTGTATTTCGTGAATCATTTCCGACCTTCTTTAGATGCGTAATCTTCAGAATTTACTTGCATATTGGGACCTGCATCCCTCAGTGCCCCACTTAAAATCCTGAAATGCCAGAAGTCAAAAATTCGTTCCGCGAAGAATCCAATAATATCGACTAAATCAACTAGAATTAAATAACACTATCGGCGTTACGACCCAAAGAAATTAGAGAATAGGTACTAGCCACTGTGGCATGATAAATACAACACCAAAGTCACTGAAAAATGGTAAGAACTTTTAGGATGAACTAATGTACCTCGAGTTTCGCTAATTTGCCTACTTGCAATTTTCGCTAAGCCAAACATCTGAAGAAATTTGCAGACAATGTGTGAATCGCGTGAAAATCGCGTAAACGCGTAATATATGTAAATAATTTTTAACACGTGAAAGAATGAAATATTTCTATTAATGAACAATAAATCAATATTTGCTAATAAAAATGCACATTCAACACCAATGATTTAACATTTTGGCTTAAAAAATCACTTGCTCATCGTTGCTTGAGTGCGCCATGTTATAACACTAGAGTTCACTAAAACTGGCATTGAGATTAGGAGAACTGTTCATTATTCGCGATTTTTTGTATTTCGACAGAGATCCTCTGGTCCCGCATCGTGGTTCAACTGTAAATGGTTGCCCCTCTCTGGTTCTTATTTGCAATTCATCCAAGATTTCCTAAGAAATAGTAAATAAAACCTATGAACAATTTTATAATTACCTTTCGGCCTGAATATTATATGAATAAAACGGCTTACTCCAAAAATAATTTGTCTACAGAATGTTTCTGAATAAGATGGTTTTGTAACTTTTAAATATTCTCACAGAGCTCCACACTGTCCACAGTTCTCGAAGGAACCTTCCTAAAAGCTTTTAAAGGGGTCCGCAGGCTCTTAGCTTTCTTATAATGAGTCCACGGCTCCCACCACTGAATGCACTTTTCTTGTTGCGAAAATGGATGAAAATGCAAAATGTCTAAGAGAAATTTCTTGGAAAACGCTGCAAATATTTGATTTCAGTGCCAATGAAAACAAACAAAAAATTATCAGCCAATTAGTGATATTTCTTACTAACCACATATTTGTGCCCTTTAAAGTGCCTACCAAAGACATAATATCAATTTTCAAAACCACCACCTGCGACCGATAATTTAGACACCATTCCTTTTACACGTGCATATGCACGAATCGGATTACGATCGGTCACCTGTCGGCTACATTCGTCCGAAGCCCAATAAAATTCAGTCCTATCGGCACATCGTTTCGGTGCAAAAAATCATATTTATCACCATTCGTAACCAATAAAATAAACAATTCTTGAAGGATTTAATCAAAAAATTTTGTTCTTTTTCAATGTTTACCGAATTTAATGTTCACTTGCGAGACTTACAATGAAAAAATGAATAAATATCGACATGTGCCGAATTTTATAAAGTGACGCTCAGTACTTTACTATTTTGGGAACTGTTACTTTCGACTTCGATATTTTAGTATCTAAAATCCTTTATTAGACTGAGGTTGTGGTGGTTAATTGCGGACCTTTGCTTTTGGTTCCTTTATGAGTTTCGGTGAAAATTTTTGAGTTTTGCGCCATGCATTTTCATGAATAATTTGCTTATTTTGCAATATTCTTGAAAAATTCATTTTTATTTATTCAAATTTTTTTAAAAATTTTTGTCTAATTTTAATTCGTATTAATGCATAAATTTAGCAGAATAAATGTAGGGAAATTGTTATCATTTTGCTGATTTTTTTGGCATTTAATTGAATATTTCCAATTTTTTTTTAAACGGTAATATCTTTTGATTTTTGCACATTTAGTCGCTAATAATTTTATTCGTGGATTTTTCGTTTCTTTATTTTTAGATTTGTTACGTGTTGTGTTGCTGAGACATCCTTCTGCTGCAGTTCTCTCGTTCATTCTCGCCAAACGTTTCTATAGTTTCCCATCAAATTTTCTTCGCTTTCTTTTAGATTTCCTATTGTTCAGTTAATTTGATTTCTTAGCTTTATTTTAATATTAATCGCAATATCTTTATTATTTTAGTTGCTTTGATGTAAGAGAAACTACTTTTAACCATTTATTGCTTAATATTTATCATATCATTTTCTATATGTATTAATTATGTATTATTTTTAATAATGGAAAAAATGAATTATTTAAAAAATTTCAGTGAAATTGAAAATAATAATATTGCTAAATAAAATAAATAAACAATACTCAGAAATGCTAAATAAATTTAATAAAAAATAAAAGTTTTGAATTCTTTGTTAATTATCTTGAAATAATCTTTATTTTATAATATTTTCATTGCTTAATCATTTATTAATAATAATATGTGCAGTCAGTTAGCTTATTAGTTTAAGAAATAAATTCACTTATTGTGGTTTTTGAATTTATTTATTTTCATTTACTCGGCAAGAAAGGGGAAAAGGAGAAAGGAAAGAGAAAGGAAAAAGGGAAAACGTGCAAGGCACACAGAGCACTTCGGCGATGTTGGCCAGTTGACCGAAAAGTGCTTTTTTCCCTTTAATTTATGCCATTTCAATGATCTCAAAATTATTTCCTTTTACTTCAGATTTTTTCATCTTTGCATCGTCATTGTTTTTCACCTATGAATTTCGCCTTCTTTATTATTATATTTGTTTTTACTATTAATATAACAAAATCTACTAATTTGATTGGTCTTTTTGGGTGTTGTTTTTGCTTTCAGTCAGTCAGTTATCAACTTTTTCTTTGCTATTTTAATTATCCATTTTATTTTTACATTATTTCTATTTTTTTTATATTTAAGCAATTTTTGCCCAGATAAGTATTTGTTTGGATTTAGAACTTCCAGAAAATTTATGTTGTCCATTTTTTTGATGTAGTTGTTTCGTCTCATGATGCGATTGATAATGTTACGTAAATGCTTTTCTTGTTGATGTGTTCGTCAATTATCATTAAAAATTCTTTAGAAATTAATTAAATTGTAGGTGATTTCGCAGATTTGGGTGGAATGGAAAACGCTCATACGAAAGCATGTGAAGAAATTATTCGCTATTACGATATTAAAGAAGATGGTTTAACTGAACAACAAGTTTTATCAAATAGAGAGAAATTTGGTCTTAATGGTATTTAATTTTTTTACTTTTCTTTTGATAGCAGTTACCATTTGACTGCACTGGCTATTAGGATAAGACTACCACATAGAGATGAAGTACAGATGAGAACGAACTTAGCACCATTCTCTTTTAATGACGGTTTATTCTTGCGTGGAATCCGATCTATAGTAACATAACTTAATCGTACAATATATCTCGACTCTAACTCTTCATGTATTTTTATTACCAAGGAAATGTTTCATGTAATAATATTTATTTAATTTATATACATTAATATGCATAATTTATTTCTAATTTTCAGTTGGTTCAACTTCTTCATATTTATTTTAAATGTTTGATTATGAAAAGATTCTTTCCCAGTTTTTGAGTGCTAACTGAAAATTCTATAAATGCATTGGTTGTAATACATATCAAATTTCAACTTAAATAATCTATTTTTATTTTATTTCAAGTGAATAAATGCTAAAAAATTGTAAATAATGCCTCAACCATTATTATTTTATATTCGCAATAATAGCACACTTGATTACCTATTTTAACATTTGGATTGTTCGTTGATTTTTTTTTTAGTAATTTTTGATATATTTTGTTGATTTTATTAATTAAAAGCATTGTTCTCTTCTGCTGGATTGTCCGAAGAGTTGTTAAATAAATTATATTCTTTTGCAGAATTGCCTGCTGAAGAGGGTAAAAAGTTATGGGAATTAATTTTGGAACAATTTGATGACCTTCTTGTAAAAATTCTTCTTCTTGCAGCAATTGTTTCGTTCGTAAGACATTTTTTTCCATTTTTTTAACTGCATTGCAAACAAGTTTTTTAGACATTTTTATTTGTTCTGCTCATCACGCCCTTTTATTTTTTATATTTTGTACTATTCGATTTTTATGGTAATTTAAGAATTTTGATTGAAGATATTGGCATTATTCGAGGAGCATGATGATCAAACATCAGCTGTTACAGCTTTTGTAGAGCCTTTTGTCATTTTGTTAATTCTAATTGCTAATGCTACAGTTGGTGTATGGCAGGTATATTTGAAAAATTCATCGTTCAACTGAAAGATTTTAAACAGATTTTTAAAAGTTACTAAAGGTTAAAATTAATTACAGTTTCAATTTAATTAGTTTGAAGGAGCGAAATGCAGAAAGTGCGATCGAAGCGTTAAAAGAATATGAACCAGAGATGGCGAAGGTCATACGTAGCGGTAAACATGGCGTACAAATGATACGAGCAAATGAACTAGTTCCTGGAGACATTGTTGAAGTATCTGGTGAGGAAAATTAATATTTTAATAAGAAATTGGTATTATTTTAAAAAATATTTAATGATAAAAATGTTTGCATATTGTTAGAGAACTATCCATCTTCTTCTTCTTCTAATGGTTCTCACCATTACTGATTAGGTTGACTCCACTATCTGTAAGCTAACGCCATCGTCGACAATAATGGAAGCCATTCTTTTTTCCATCGTCTAAGTCCATATTCGTTCAAAATCTTTCCTATATTAATCCGGGTATTGATTGGACCATCTTGCTTTTGACGCCAATCGCTAAAAGGTTTAGCAAAGTTTAGTAATGGAATACGTATGGTGGCGACGATGAATGTGCCTTAACCAGTGAAGATGTTGCTCTATGATGGTTGAGTTGAGCGAAGAGCGAAGACGTAATTTTGTGAGATTATCCGCTTGGGGACCCATAAAATGTATTTTAGATACGAATGATCAAAGGAAGATATACTCCACTCTCATCAGCCATGTTTCGCACCCAGAAGGCGTTATTCACTGGCGTACCGGATCCCTATGCCGTGCTTGCCAATTAGTGACTTTATTGTGGCGACATCGTGGTTTATACGCTTTACAGTCCCCTTCAGTTATAATTATGTCACTTTTAGTAGAGGTGTTGTTAGCAGTTGAAATTTCGCATAGAACTTGTCCTTATTGTGGTCATCTGTTCATAAAGTTATGCATACTGTTTATGGAGTATACTAATGGAAAGTTATGCATACTGTTTATGGAGTATACTAATGGAAAGTTATGCATACTGTTTATGGAGTATACTATACTAATGGAAATATTGCAAAACTTTTGAAAGGAGCATAGGCCATATGGTCGTTTATGGGTCGTTTCACTCAATCTAAACGGATTGAGCTTTTTCAGATATGACAATCGCTATGCCATTTTTCCACATCTCGAAATATACTAGTACTTCTGCTCGGAGCATAGCTTAGTAACAAGACCCGAAGTGAGGAAGGCAGATTTCCTACAAGATGGACATCCACACGATATTTAGAGTGTTGGCAGTGGCGCTTGGCTTGTAACGTCCATAAGCTTTCTAATTTCCACATTGCTGCGGCTAAACTTTTCCGCGCGTGTAAAGGGCCGTTTCCTTTCCTATATTTCGAGTAATTATCCTGGCTTGAGAGCAGGTTATATTTTCAAGCTTTGAAATCTTTTACGCTTGAATTGAATACATATCGCGTGTACCACCAGGCCGGAAATATCATGCGTTTCAAAGAATACAGATACCATGTCACTATAGTTAAAGGTGGAAAACAGTCGGATTTTCGATATCAGATTTATTCTGTTAAAGAAAAAAGACAAAAAAAAGGAAAAAAAAAGTTAAGAAAAGATGAAAAATAGAAGAAAACAGAAAAAAAGGAAAAAAAAGAGAAAAAATTTGAAAATTGTTTAATATATATGAAATTTGTATATTTACATAATTTAATTAATTAAATTTAATTTATAATATTTTAATTCTTTGTTCAAAAAATTTTTAAATAAAATTCAAGAGAATTCATAGCTTTAATAGAAATTTTTACGTTTCAGAAATAGTGCAAGAAAAAATTTTAACAGAGTGAGGTAGAAAGCGATTGTTCAAGAAATTTTCTTCTTTATTTTTTTGGCAACCATCTATGGGATTTTTTGTTTTTTATTGAAATATTTCTAAAAGATTTTAGTGGGAGACAAAATCCCTGCCGATTTACGATTAATGAAAATTTATTCGACAACGCTACGGATCGACCAGTCAATCTTGACTGGTGAATCAGTTTCTGTCATAAAACATACTGACGTTGTGCCTGATCCACGAGCTGTAAATCAGGACAAAAAAAACTGTCTGTTTTCCGGAACTAATGTTGCATCAGGAAAGGTTTTCATTAATTTCCATTAATTTCTTCTAAGAACGATTTTTGATATTTTGATTTTTTATATAAAAAGGTTAAACAAAATATTGTAATATTCAATATTCAGGCTCGTGGCATAGTTTTTGGAACTGGTTTAGCTACCGAGATTGGAAAAATTAGAAAAGAAATGGCTGAAACTGAAACAGACAGGACTCCACTTCAACAAAAACTTGATGAATTTGGTGAACAACTTTCTAAGGTTACTATTTACTAATAGTATTAATCTATTATTAATCTATTATCATTTATTAATCTATTAATGAAAAAGAAATTTGATAATTTCATTTTATGCTTCAGGTTATATCAATTATCTGTGTGGCTGTATGGGCCATCAATATTGGTCATTTCAACGATCCTGCTCATGGTGGTTCCTGGATTAAGGGTGCTATTTATTATTTCAAAATCGCTGTTGCTTTGGCTGTCGCTGCCATTCCTGAAGGTTACCCATTTCCCCATTTTTCTAGGGTTTCTTCGAATTGTATATATTTGCTTTTTTTAATTATTTTCATTTACTTTCATTTTAGGTTATTTAAGTAAAAAGTTTAGGTTTACCTGCTGTTATTACCACTTGTCTGGCACTGGGAACACGTCGTATGGCCAAGAAAAATGCTATCGTGCGTTCTTTACCTTCTGTCGAAACTCTTGGTTGCACATCTGTAATTTGCTCTGATAAAACTGGTACATTAACAACGAATCAGATGAGTGTCTCAAAAATGTTTACTGCTTATAGTACTTCGGGTGATGATATTCAGTTTACCGAATTTACCGTCACTGGCTCCACTTATGAACCTTCTGGTCAGGTAATATTTTTTATTATCCTTTGTTTTCTGAAAATTAAATCTAACTTATAACGTTTAATCGGCAAGATTTTATCAAAATCGTACAAGATCATTTCTTTTATATAATTTTTGGAAAAAGCTTGGAATAGGATTCTATGCTTGTAATTTCAGGTGTATCACAACGGTCGACAAGTGAATTGTGCAAGCGGTGATTATGAGACGCTAACTGAAATGGCAACAATTTGCTCAATGTGCAATGATTCAGCAGTAGACTTTAATGAGGTTACTTGTATCGATATTTCTATCAGTATTCAAAATTTACAAGTTCATAGTGTAATCTCTTCAAAGATAAGTTTTCTTATTGTAAAGTTATTTTAAAAAAGAACTTCATAAAATAATTATGGATATTCTGCTTTGAAAAATTTATTTTAACAAAAAAAATTCATACCAATGCAAATGTTTTATGATTAAGAAAAAGTGGAAAGAAGAAATTTTAAATTGATGTGGAAACCTAAATTATTATTCAGACCAAACGAGTTTACGAAAAAGTTGGCGAAGCTACAGAAACTGCTTTAGTTGTTTTGGTGGAAAAAATGAATGTCTATAACACAAATAAATCAGGCTTATCACCACGGGATCTAGGAAATGTTTGTAATCGTGTTATTCAACAAAAATGGCAAAAGGAATTCACTTTGGAATTTTCACGTGATCGCAAGAGTATGAGTGCCTACTGTATTCCATCTTCAGGTGGATCTGCTGCGAAAATGTTTGTAAAAGGAGCGCCGGAAGGTTAAGCTTTGTTCATGGCTTTAATTATTGATTTTCTTGTTAAAAAGATTTTATAAGGAATAGAAAAAAAGAAATTTTTGAAAAATTTTGCTTAAAATTGTTAAAACTTCGCATTTAAAGGAGTATTAAGTCGTTGCACACACATTCGAGTCAATGGACAAAAGGTACCTCTAACAGCTAAAATGACTCAGAGAATCGTTGATCAGTGCATCCAGTATGGCACTGGTCGCGACACCTTGCGCTGTCTTGCTCTTGGAACTATCGATAATCCACCGTCACCTCAAGGGTATCAAATTTACCGAGATAAATTTTTATTAAATTTTTTTTATTATTTTTACTTCTTATTCATTGACTTATTTTTTGTAGCAAGAAATTAGTGAAAATGCAATTTCGGAACTAGTGAAATTTCTTTATCTCTAAAGTTCATTTATTAAATTTGTCATATTATCATATAAAGTCATAAATACGGTTTGGTTTATTTTGTATAATAAAGTTTTATGATAATGGTAAAAAAGTTATAATTTTACACCGTAAAAAAGAAAGTAGAATTCTTATTATAACGAAAAAAAGAATGATACAAATAAAAAGATTTAAATCTTTTTTTACCATATTTTTATTTTTAGATTGGATTTAGAAGATTCGTCTAAGTTCATACGTTATGAAAAAGATATTACATTTGTGGGAGTCGTTGGTATGTTGGATCCGCCTAGATCGGAAGTTATTGATTCGATTCGGGAATGCCGTCATGCTGGTATTCGTGTCATAATGATTACTGGTGATAACAAGAACACAGCGGAAGCGATTGGACGCAGAATTGGTCTTTTTACGGAAGATGAGGATTTCACTGGTTTCTTTTACTTTTTTTGGATTTTGATCTCGTTTTGTTTAATGTAGCTCCATTAACAAAAGGAAACCTTTTTCATTTCACCGATTTGTCCCAATTTATTTTTTTTATTTTATCGCTTGATAAATTAAGATAAGATAATTGCAAAAGCAGTGATATATAATAAGAATATTTTTAAATTATTAAGTTTTTTAGGAAAATCATTTACTGGACGTGAATTTGATGATTTACCACCTGAGCAGCAGAGTGACGCTTGCCGTCGAGCCAAATTATTTGCACGTGTAGAACCAACGCACAAATCAAAAATTGTCGAATTTCTGCAATCACATGGTGAAATAACTGCAATGACTGGTGATGGTGTTAACGATGCTCCTGCTTTGAAAAAAGCGGAAATAGGTGAGGTTTTTGAAAATTTTCTTCATGGCATATATTGCTTTGGTGCATCGGTAGCTTAGAATTCAAATGGTTGCGAATCAAAAGTGATTCGGGTTCGATTCCGGTACTATGCTTTCTTGACGGCAGTCGAACGGCAAAAATAAGAATTAAAAGGTTTAGTGGGTTGGCCATTTTGGGACGTCGATACAGAGGTTCCACATATGGTAGAAGTAAGTTTGTCAAAAATTTGAATTATGCTAGCGACTCGCCTTGTCACTAAGTGAATCCATGACAAAATTTATCCGATCCGACAAACCAGTGGAGCGAGCCTAATCAGCACTGGCGAGCGCGAAAAAAATATTGTCAAATTATTTTTAACAAACTTATCCCAGTTTTTGCACATCTTATTTTTATTTCGATTTTTAAAATTCTTCATTACTTTTTAACTTTATTTTCTTTAGCCTTTTTTCTTAAATTTTGGTATAATTTTTGTTTTATATAATTCTGATATAATTTAAAATTTTCTAATGCTTTAATGATTAACATGGGCTATACCAGGGTAACAGTTTTCGTTCTTCACTGATTTATTGGATATTATTTATTTCAGGCATTGCAATGGGTTCAGGAACTGCTGTAGCGAAAAGTGCATCAGAAATGGTCCTAGCTGACGATAATTTCGCAACAATTGTGTCTGCTGTTGAAGAGGGTCGAGCAATTTATAACAATATGAAACAATTTATTCGTTATTTAATTTCATCCAATATTGGAGAGGTGACATTCTTTCTTGACCATTCTTTGTATCAATATTTGTATTCTTTTTAAATTAAACTATACTGGAAAAAAAGTTTAATGATTAAATTTAATAGGTGGTGTCAATCTTTCTGGTGGCAGCTTTGGGTATCCCAGAGGCATTAATTCCTGTTCAGTTACTGTGGGTAAATCTTGTTACTGACGGTCTTCCTGCCACTGCACTTGGATTCAATCCTCCTGATCTCGATATTATGGATCGTCCTCCTCGATCAGCCAGTGAATCTCTCATCTCAAAATGGCTTTTTTTCCGATATTTGGCTGTGGGAAGTAAGCATGGCTTTTATTTTCATCAAATTCAAGAAACTAATCTAAGATTAATTATGGATGTGATTTTAGCGTATGTCGGTGTTGCAACAGTCGGTGCATCTATGTGGTGGTTCTTATTATACGAAGATGGACCTCAGATTAGCTATTATCAATTGACACATTGGATGAGATGTGAAATTGAGCCTGAAAATTTCACTGACTTGGATTGCGCAGTTTTTGAAGACACACATCCCAATGCCATGGCACTATCAGTTTTAGTTACCATTGAAATGGCCAACGCCATGAATAGGTATATTTTGTTTAATTTTTTGGTGTTATAAGATGGAATTGCTGAATTCATTGAAAATTTTTTTCTAAAATTCTGTCTAATTTTCCTAGTTTTCATTTCATAATTTTAAATAGTTTTTTTAGCTTATCAGAAAATCAATCACTGCTAGTAATGCCGCCTTGGACCAATGTTTGGTTGATGTCATCCATTGCGCTTTCAATGTCTCTGCATTTCATCATTCTTTATGTGGATATTTTGGCAACGATTTTCCAAATAACACCTTTAAGCTGGGCAGAATGGATGGCTGTATTGAAGATCTCATTCCCAGTTATAGTACTTGATGAAATACTCAAATTCATCGCTCGGAATTATATAGATGGTGAGCAAGATTCGAAGTCGACTGAAGATGCAAAATTTAAACGTTTATTTCTCCTTCGAGCAATTTTCAGCGTTGTATGCTTGACTTTGCTATGGATAAGCTATTTTTGTTGGATTCTTATCCCATATGTGCCTCAATTTATGCATGCTATTGGTAGAGGTCCAAGAGTATCAAATAACCCTCTTTATTCCGTCTTTCGTTCTGTTGAGTTATAGGCATGGTTTTAATCGATGATTGACCAGTCTCATCAGATTATGTAAGAATTTTAAAAAACAGCTTCGCTCATTACTTATTGAGAAATTGCTTCGCAAAAAAATGATTTTGTAAATTGATATAACCAATGTATTAATGACATTATTATCTCGTTGATGAACAAGTTATCTTTTATGATGGTATAAGTTTATTTCCAATTTGTCATATGAACTATCTTTTTAATATTTGAAATTGAATTTTCAAATTTTCTTCAATCTGATTTATTTCACCTTAAAATTCTAAGAAATTCGTCAATCATCGATCTATTTCCCACGGGATGAACTTGTTTGTCATAAATGACTAAATTTTGAATTTATTTCCCTTTTTTAATTTATTTTTTCATCATTTCCAAAAAAAATATTTCCTCTAAGTATAAAATTTTTGTTTTTGCTAGGCTGAGAAAATTCTTTTTTTTTGCGAATTGCATAACATCTTACACTAACAAAATAATAATTTAGAATTTTTGTTTATTTTTTGGATTTATTAACCTGGGTGCAACTTTTTTATTGTTCTTCACGCTTAAATCATCCTTTTCCTTCTTCTAGTGTTCATGCGATTTTTATCGCATTACTTAAAGGGAACTAATAAGGTTGTACCTAGGTTTATAGGTCTGTTTAAGTTAATAATAAAAGCTATTCGGTGACTATGATTGTTTCTTTCAAATGCGAAGAGCTATAAAATAGCAGTGTGGGTTATTATGTGATATTGGATGTCTTTAATCCTCAGTTTTATCTCTATTTGTTAAAAATTCTTTATAAAATTTATATATTAAAGAGAGGAGCCTTTTTTTTTAAAAAAATTTTAGCAATTTTTTTTAGAATTTTCGGTGGGTTTTTGTAAAAAATTGTTTTTTTCACTATCGTTTTATCGTTTATCGTTTGTTAAAATTAAATTCAAATTATGTTTTAAACTATATTCGGGTTTTCCTTACAAATTATGACTAAGGTTCCATAAATGAAATGAGAAAGGTAAGAGAAACTGCTTAGAAAATTCCTCTACGTTTAGATTTCTTTTATGATAATTTAAATGATTGTTTCTTTCGAATTGAACTTGAACAGCGTTTTTTATATGAAGTGATTTTTTAGTAAAATTTCCCGTTTTTTTCTTTTTTTCTGTTCAGACCCAGTTTAATAAATAGAGAAATAGAGAAGGGAGCGAACTGCGAGAATTGTATGAAAGCTTTTTGAAGTTGTGACGGATTTTTCTAAGAGATTGCCTTTGCCCTTATTTTGGCGATTTGGCTTTATTTCATCAGCTTTTTTTTCGCGCTGTTTACCTGATGCTGGCTAAAAGGAAGAAAGGTTTGGCGTGGGAATGGCTTATTTTACGTCTCTTATGGTTTCATTTGGTGTTTTCTTCCTTGGAAAAGGTTAGACTCGCCAGTTTTTTATTATATTCGGCGAAATGATTCGTGCTATCTTTACTTGGAATAACATTTTTTGAAGTTCAAGAAAGTCGCACATTCGCACGAAATGCATAACGATCAACGTCGCCAGTCTCAGGTGTTTAAAATGAGATAAATTACTCGACTGAATGTGGCTGATTCAGCTCACTGGAGATGGCTCACCGCGGAAAGGGATTTATTAGAGCCAAACTAAAAGTGGGGAGTGCTGCTGGGAGAAATTGGAATGTCGAAGCATTTCTGTTAAAAAATTTTTACTCTCGTCACTTCCGTTGAAATAGTGAGATTTCCTAGCTTCAATTGAATTTTTTGAGCCAAATTTAATATGTTGGAACTAAATTAAAATTGGTACTAAAGGAACAAAATAGTTTCACTTTTTTGGCTTCGTGGATTTGTATTCATTTAAATATTTAAATAGGTTAAGCGCATGTATAAAAAATGTGTTCAGTGAATTTTTCTTCTTTTGCTTTCACGATTTCGATTTGCGATATTTTATAAATTTTGCTTTTTTTAAAAATTACTTAGAATTAATTATATCTAACAGTTTTTTGTTTGACTAATCTTTGAAAAATGTTTAAAAGGAACTCTTTGTTGACTAATCTCTGAAAATATTCGTTACCGATACAACATTGTGGTGACTCAAGCATGGCTTATAAGTCATCTACTAAATTGCTATAGATTTCGAAGTGATTTGCGCCACCAGTTCACTCCTCTGGTTTAAATTCTATTATTAGTATTAGTATTAGTATTAACATTAAGAGTTTTTCTGCTTCGATGGTACTTCCGTCCATTTTCGGCGATCTCTATTATACAAGTAAATGAATTGAAAAAGTATGATTTTAATTGTGGGGTGGGAACTACAAAAAAGAAAATTAAAAGAAATAGAAAGAAATAGAAACATTTGAAAGAGCTTAGATTCCAAAAATAGAGAGTTCAGACAATATTTAATTTTTAAAAAAACTTAATTATTGGAATAATTATTAATTATTGGAATAAACAACGAGCATTGAAGTATTTTGCTTTCTCTGCTACATTTCTTCTTCAATTTTAAAGATTTATTCTGTCGTTCTCTTGGGCTATGACCTCTGACCTTGCGGCCAATTTTTTAACTATAAAAAAGTGAAATAGAAATTAGATATTTGGCATTTTTAGTTTCTTATTATGCCACTGACAAATCAATACGTCGTATTTTGTACTTTCCACTTAAAAATTACGTGCCGAATGTTTATAAATTGGAATCAGCAAAAAAAATTTGTGATTTGAAGTAAGGGAAGATAAATCGAAGGGTTAGTTGGATCCGGATATATATAATTTTGTGAAAAATTTCAGTGGAGAAGGCGAAGAGCGAATGAACTGGAGGATCGGGAAAACGGGAACTTCAACATCATTCAGGATGATCTAAAAATTAAACAGAGATTTATCGGACCGAGAAGGGAGAAATTTTTTCCCATTCCTCCTCCATGCGCACATCTTATTCATTTACCACACAGTTAGTTGTCGTTGTCTCTTAATTCTTCACATAGATAAGGTATTCCCCTTAATTATAAAAGTACTCTACGAATAATTAATAGCCAATAATTAATTCTGTTAGAGCCCAGCATCTTATATACGTCTTTTTTCGTCTCCTTCCGTCTCATTTCTCATATTTCATAGAGGAAAAAACGTATTCATTGGCTATTAAATCCATTATTGACAAAATATCAGATAGTTATACGAAAAAAATTGTCTTATAATTTCGTGTCTCTTTTCAGTTCCATTTTCACGATGATCTATAATTACCTAAAATTGTATTAGTGTATTACACAAGTGTACGTGCAGATGGCGCATCACAGCTTTTTCCTTTTGTCCCTTTTTCTGCTGAATTACCTCGGTATAACTGGAATATCTCCACCACTTATTATTACATATAAAATCCATAAAAGCCAACTGTTGCGTTCATTTAGTGTCCTAGGAATTTTGCAAATTGAGATTTTGTAACCAATTCAATATTAATATTATATTATTTTTTGTTTCGTTTAATTCGATGCTGAAAATGATTGGTTATTTTTAATCGAATTTAAACGATTACCTCATAATTTGGTGAGGAAATCGCGAACAAAAAGATTACGTAATTCATTTTAAATTCATGGATCTAAATTTTAAAATAAATTATCATTTTTTAACAAATGTATTATCGCAATTCTATTTTGAGAATATAGCATGATGCTTAAGGTGGTTTTTAAAAAAAAGCAGTTCGAGCGGCGTCCAATGCAGGGTCCTTCAGCCTGGAATTAGTTATATTCGTAAAATTAAACAAATAATTTGACATAATATATTGATAAGGATTGGATCAAGTTATTGGAAACCATTTTAAATCACATCGTACAAACGCTTTTATGGTTCATTTAAATTTTTAAGAATATTACTTCGTCCAAAATTCTTATGAAGAGGAGCAAAAAATAACGCATTTATAAATAACTTTTAAAAAAATAATAAAATTATACCTTGTCGAAAAGGTAATTAAAGTATGGATAACTCGAGAAAGAGTGAGTGAAATGATACGGAATATTAATGGGGCGCCTGTTAAAACTATTAAAAATCGTTTCATAAGACGGAAAGAATTTTTCGATGCCAAACCTAACCACGATGCGCCATCTGTTATCCCAGATATAACTCATTCGCTCGTCGAACCTTACGTTTGCAACTGTGAATTGCCAGCAGAAAAGAAAAAAATTTCTATAATTCATAAGGCCAATAAAACCCCGGGAGAAGATGGTCTTCGGGCTCTTTAAATGTTGTCCATCATCTTTCATAATTCATCTTCAACGAATGTATTCTCTGGTATGGCAAAAGGAAATAATACCAGAAGACTGCACTAAAGCAATTCTGCTTCCAAATGTTAAGGACATAGTGTGATAATTACTGAGGAATATCAACCTGCTAAGAATCTCCGGAAAAATTTTCGTTCCCCTTCTGCTCACACTCATTGCAATACTAACCAATCTGGATTCAGAGCGGGACCAGATATTTATGCTAAGAAGGGTACTTGAACATCGCTTTAAATACTAGCAACCCACCATCATTTGCTTTATCGATTTTGCAGCTGCCTTTGATTCCACTGATAGAGCAGCGCTCTGGATAACGATGGAATGTGACAGTGAAAATCATTCGGCTTATAAAGGTATTTTATCAGCATACCCTGGTACAAATCTTTGTATATGGGGAATTGAGAGAAATAACAACAAGCGTCTGCGTCCTTTCCCCTACAATATTCAACTGTGCGATAGACTGGATAATGGGCATCGCTTCCGGCCACTCAAGGAATGCAAATCAGACCAAAGCATAGCATCAGACCTTGAATACGATGATGATGTAGTCCTTTTTGTTGACAGTATAATGAAATGCAAATAACGTTAAACAATGTATCAACAACTGCAGCGAGAATTGGACTCAAAATCAATGTAAATAAAACGAAAATCAAATAAAATAAAACGAATAAAATAAAATAAAAGAATGTCTTACATATGAAATGCTGATAAAATGCCTATTTTTATCAATACATTGCCGGTTGATGAAAGTGCATGACTTTAAAAGTCTTGGATCTACCCCAATCCTAAATAGCCAGACGAAGGATGAAATTGTAACCGGATAACGACAGTTAGCAATATATTTTTCCGGTTGATGAAACCTCTGTGGAACAGGAAATTACCATAAAGACGAAAATCCGAGTCCATATAGTTACAATTCGCTCGATCTTCCCATATAGCTGTGAAACATGGCCAATGAGAGCGGAAAATATTAGGAAGCTATCAGCCTTTGACCACTCATGTCTAAGATACATTTTACGGATCCGTCGAATAGATAAAATCGCACACGATTATATTTATCTTCAAATACTATCTGTATTAGAGCATTTTCTCCGTCGTCCACCACGGGAATTGATGGAGTTGACGCATATTTCACTACTTGCCGAACCCTGATGGTTGGTGCCAAAAGCGAGGAGGGCCAATTCATGACCTTGGACTGATGCAGTCAAAAAAGATTTTGAAGGTATAAGGGAACAGCGATACATGGAATTAGAGGATGGAAAAAGGAATGGTTTCTTTTGTTGCTAGCTATGGCGTTGGACCGAGCAGCTTGGAGACGTCTTACCCTGGTAGCCAAAGAAACCAGTAATGGTGAGAGCTGTTAGAAGAAAAAAAAGAATGAAAAAAATGTTTGGAAAAAAATACTTTTGATTTAAAAATTTAAATTTAAATTACTAATTATTAATGAATAAATAGTACTCATTAAAAATATATTTTAGTTATTAAATATTTATTTCAGGCAATACAGAAATTTCTCGTTAGCCTGGCCAAAAAAATTTTGATTCAAATAAAAATCAATAGAAACTGAACATAGGAAACGACTTATATCATTGCTGTTCTTAGAAGTTATAAGTTATAAGTCATCGCAAAGTTATCGAATTTATTATTTCATAACGAAATGGAAAATGCAGCCAAAGTAAAAAGTTTCAAGTTGTTCGATTTGTGCAGAAATAATAATTTACAATGACTATGACGGTGGTAAATCGTCAATACTTGTCGCAAATTTGAAATCAAGAGGGAAAAGTTCAGCTGCTTTCGGATAGAGTAACTTATAAGTCTGCTTAACAGTCACTTCTGCTGCACCAGCTATCTCCCCAATGTCTGAAAAAATTCGACTTGGAATACAACTCTTTTGAACCAATTATTGCAGTTACACCAACTTCGAATATCTAATTATACGAGCAAACCTTTAGCTGTCTTTTTTTCATTTGAAGCCAGTGAAGCCATATAAATTGCTGCAGCTGCAATTGATATGGGACTACGCCTTAAAAAAGTGTTTTACAAAATCTTAGAATTAACAAATTAAATTTTATTTAATATTTCTAAAAAAGGAGAAATTTAAAGATAATTAAAAAAAAGAAAAAGACTCTATCAACTAGCTCAAATTAAAAAATCCGGAAATAAGAGCATTTCAAATTATATTATCGAAACATCCAGTGATATGAACATCAATGACATCTCTTGAATGGGGAATGAATACTGGTCCCAACTAAAGAAATGCCAACAAAAGACAGCCACTTCCATGCTAGGACATACGAGTAAGAAGTGCGACAGCTGGATATCAAAAGTAATTGTCCAACACAAAACGCTGCCAAAGTACAAATATCAGGAGATCCTGATATATCCTGACCACCGGAAGAACTAAAGCGACAACAAAATGGCGAAGAGAAAATCGCTATTGGAGCGATATGGTCTTGTGAATGGAGAAGGCGGCTTGGATAAACGATAATAGGAAATTTTTTCACCTTCTTCGCCTTCTTTCTATAACTGAAAGGGTTAGTGAAATGACACGGAATATTAGTGGGGCCTGTTAAAACTATTAAAAATCGTTTCATAAGATGGAAAGAATTTTTCGATGCCAAACCTAACCACGATGCGCCATCTGTTATCCCAGATATAACTCATTCGCTCGTCAAACTTACGTTTGCAACTGCGAACAGCCAGTAGAAGAGGAAATATTCTCTATAATTCATAAGCATAAGGCCAATAAAACCCCTGGAGAAGATGGTCTTCGGGCTCTTTATATGTTGTCCATCATCGTTCACAATTTATCTTCAACGAATGTATTCTCTGGTATGGCAAAAGGAAATAATACCAGAAGACTGCAGCAAAGCAATTCTGCTTCCAAATGCTAAGAAAAGTGATAGGATAATTAATGAAGAATCAACCTACTAAAAATCTCCGGAAAAATTTTCGCTTCCCTTCTGCTCATACTCATTGCAATGACCAAGCTGGATTCAGAGCGGAAAGCGATCGTGGACCAGATATTTACGCTAAGAAGGATACTGGAACATCGTTTTATATACCAGCAACCCACCGCAATTACAGCTGCCTTTGATTCCATTATAGGCAGTTGGAAATGATGGAATTTGACGGTGTCCCAGAAAAGATCATTCGGCCTTAAAGACATTTTATCAGCATACCCTGGCGCAGGCTTGCGTATATGGGGAATTGAAAGAAATGAGAAAAGGTATCTGCGTCCTTTCTCCTATAGTGTTATAGTATAGTGTTCAACTATGCAATAGACTGGATAATGACCACCTTTACTCAAAAGATGTCCAAATCACTCCAAAGTTTAGCATCACAGATCTTGAATACGCTCCTAGTCCTTTTTGCCAACAGTTATAATGAATGAATAATGTTAAACAATGTATCAACAACTGCAGCGAGAATTAGATTAAGGTTGATGCTGTTGGTGGTACTATTCCTCACGTTACTTGTATTTTTCCCAATATAAATAAAATGGTGTTTTCTTCATATACATAAGATGCTGATAAAATACCTATTTTATCAATTCATTGACGGTTGAGGAAGTGCCCCATTTAAAATACCTTGGATCCACTCTAATCCCAAATGGTCAGGCAATTTGATGAAGTTGTAACCCGGATAACGGCAGCTAGAAATATATTTTTTCGATTGATGAAATCTTTACGAAATCGTCGCGAAATCACCATAAAGACAAAAATCCAAGTCTATATAGCTGCAATATGCTCCATCTTGCTATATGGCTGTGAGATATGGCCAATGGAGGATATTAGTTAATTGTCTGCATTTGATCTTGTGTAAGGTAGATATCCGTCATGATTACGAGATTATTACGGATCCGTCGAGCCGATAAGATATCACATGATTGCATCCACCTTCGTTTAAATACCACTTGTATTAATAATGTTGTCACATAGCGTCGCTTTCGCTGATTAAGGCATATTCTCCATCATCCACCACAGGAGCTGACGCATATTTCGCTAATTGTGATGGTTGACGTCAAAAGGAGGGCCAATCAAGACCTGGACAGATGCAGTCAAGAAAGATTTTGAAAGTATATAGGGGGACCAGCGATATATGAACTTAAATAGTGGAAAAAGGGATGGCTTCTATTGCTACTAGCGATGGCGTTGGACCGAGCAGCTTGGAACTCTTCCAGCTAGCGAAACCAGCCTAACCAATTATGGTGAGAGCTGTTAAAAGAAGAATATTTCTAAAAATAATTCTAAAAAATAATTCTAAAAAAAATAAAAATTCTAAAAAAAAATCTTTAACACATTTAAAAAAATTTTAATATAATAATTTTTTGATACAATAATATGGTACAATAATAATTATTAAAAAATCAATATTTTTTCTGAGGATTTACTACTTCATTTTTTTCTAAAATAAAATGAAAATTTTGAGAAGATGAAAAATTTTAAAGCACATCCAAATGTTGAAACCAATATCCTGAATGAAAATAATCAAATATTCATTATATAAAATGGATTATTTAGACTGAGAAATAAGGTTTGATTGACTCGACAGTTTTAAAATCATTACGATTTCGGCCACCTATGTTTCGTATAATTTTCTTCCATTGTATAATTTTAACATTATTTTGATATTATAAAGTACTTTCAACCCTCTCAATTCATTATTAACATAAAAATAAAAAATGAAATTGTTACCCTGCAACCAAATCCAATTCAACAGCTTTTTTAGCGATTCTTGTGGCTGCTGCTTGAACGATATGAGGCAAACCCAAACTACCGCAAAACCGAGACTAAAAATTCATATTAGGTATTACATTTAGAATTGTGGAAACAACTTAGAAATATTTTTCCTTTGGAGATTAACAAATTTGAAATTTCTGAAGAAATTTTAAGGCGCTTCTGAGCAGAATTTACAAAAAATAAAATACCATAAAATCTGCGCTCGTGATTTGTTCAAGACTAGTTTCCAACGTGCGAAGAATAAGTTTAAAACAACGACCGATTTCTTTTTTCGAGATTCGTGAAACAGCACAAATTTCTAAAAGTTCGTCATTTCATTATGGCATCCAAGAATAAAAATTTTTATTAAAGAAAGGCAGCTTCATCTAATCTCTGTTTATTTTATATTATGCTTCGCTTTTCCGCATACTTTAGATAAAAAAAGAAACGCGTACCTAATATTCGTATTTTAGATAAAAAAGAAAATGCACTTAAAATTATTCGTATTTTAAATTATCAAAAAAAAAAAAAAATTATCCAGAAATTATTATTTGACATATTCGATAATAGAACATTTAAGAACATTTAACCTTTGAACGTCCTTGGTACACCTTCTTTTCTGCAGGCTATATACAAACATGCAGCAGCTTGAGCTTCATTATTCTTTCCTCTAAGAGCTTTACTGTCCAAAACGTCTTTGAAAATCTTCGCTGCATTATCCTAAAACAAAATATAATGAAGTGATGATTATTTTGAAGGGAAATGAAATAAAAAAACAAATAAAAATAAAAAACAAATACTTCTATGGATTTTGGAAGATGAATTCGAGATGTCATTTCACGAATAACACTTAACCCTTGAGACATTTGCCTTTCCGTATTATTCATATTTTTTCGCTGCGCATTTGCTAAGCTGAAGAAAAAGATATTGTCGATTACTTTTTAATTCCACAATTTTTTTTAAAGAGCATTCACCAGTTAGACTCGCTCCGCTGGCTTGCCAGATTATATAATATGCCGAGCAGCCTTTGGACGACACAAATATGGGTGAGTCGCCAGCATCAGCCGGATTCTTAGAGGATAAGCATACCCCTACCCGGAGTAGGACCTTAGTGCTGGCGCTCCGAAATCAACAAGAACCTACTGATCCATTCTATTTTCCTTTGCTTTCTCCGTTAGGCGAGATGGCAATGGTCAGGCGACAATGTCGCCCAATGAAACATGGTGCTTTCAAATTTGAACCTTAGCCTCGATTCTCCGTGACAACTGTCTTCCCACTGAACCATCCACATTTAAATTATTTAAAGCTCATTAAAAAATAGAAATTTCTTAAACTTTTTTATCAAACGAATATCATAATTTCAATTGCGAATCAAATAAATATATAATAATTCGGATTGAAATTATTATTTTATATGATTTACAATATATAATTAACTTACAATGTATATAATTTATATCGTTTGTTTTGGTATGAAAAACATTAGATTTTTGTTGTTCTCAAATTTCCGATACTAGCTATGTACAAAAAAAAGAAAAATTATGGAATATGATTAAGAAGATAACATCGGTCTTCTGGTGAGCATAAAATAAAACGTAGGCGAGGACAAAAAACTGAAAGAAGATTATAAGACTAAAGATGCTGGAATTTTTATGCTGGAACATATATTAAATTAACAAAAGTCACTGGCACAGCTAAATTTGAGAGTACAGACAGGAGATTAACTGTGCGCTAAAAATGGCAAAACGATAAATACTCGTTTAAAAATACTCCTTTGGAGTATTTAAGATTTAATGTGTCGCAGGAATGATTTGAACCATTGACGCTCAATAATTTAACCGAAAACTAGTAAGCTATTTTGCTTCCCTTAAGTGTGATATTCCATTGAATGAATACCATCTCGCGAAATAAAACTGAAAATAAAGAAAACAAAACCTTTGATCATCCTCAGATGCACCAAAACCAACAGCAATAGAAGTGGATAAATCTGCACTTCCAAAAAGAGGATTTTCTGGTGCACCAACGCGAGATGGATCGCTTGAAGATTTTTCATTACAAAAGGACCGCCATTCCGTACTAACATCAATAACTCTTCAAAAAATTTTCGCCTTACTTTTAGTTTTATCATAACATTATATTCATAATATTTTTTATAATTAAATAAATAATTAAATTGGAAATTTTCGAACATAGAAATTCCCATGATTACAAATAAAGCAAGGTACAAACTCCTCATTACCTGTCACCAACAACCAATCCACACTCCGGACAAATCAAATCACCAGCTCTATAGTCATCCACCAAATTGGCTTCCGGATGATAGGGGCACGACAGCTCTCCACCGAATGACATTCTCTTTCAAATAATCTGAAAGAAGACTGGACCCTCCCCACCGAGTTCCATAAAACTAACTTCAATGAACTATGAAACTACCGACAAACACGGCGCAACTATAGCAACAATAGTTAAGAAGCTATATGGCAATATAAACAAATACCAAAAGATCTGCGGAATTTACCTGCCGAATCTTTGAGAAAATCGTGTCCGACTTTTAGAAAATTATATATACTAAAAAGCGGTTTGTTAAACTAATCCATCTGGCCTTAGGAGAGTTCAAGCCATCCAGGGAGCAGGTGGTTCTACGCCAGTTATGCATTTCTTTACTGTTCATACCTGTATCCTGTATTTCTCCGTTAAGTGTTGGACAGTTTTTGGGGCGTTCTTGCACAGTCTGCAACCATGAGCCGTGTCTGGTGTGGTAAATTTCTGTGGATTTCGATGGATCCGATGCTTAGCGCCTGTTCTTGTGCAGCTATAATCAATGCCTCATTGATGCCTTTTAGTTCGCCATTTTTAACCATCAGTAAGGTTTCTCAATTAGCTTTTGTCGATAGCACACCACATGGGTAGTCTTGCTCTTTCTCTAGTGTCTGTTGATGTTTCAGATATTCTCTCGGCAGTCCATCCTTTATCGCCATCTTACTGACATATTATTGAATGTCCTTCAAGACGGTGGGTCTGATACTTGCTAGGTCTCACTCGTACTTTTCGGCTACTCTACAGTCTTTGGGATATACTATTAATGGTCCTTATGGTATTGGACTTTCGATGGAAATTTTGTTGTGAACAACTTCTGAGTCTTTACATCGACAGCCTCCATCTCTTTCTTTGTTCATCTCACTTTACCCGCTGCTTATTTAATGACTGGCAGAGCGTACATGTTTATGGCGTGGATTTTGTTTTTCCCATTGAGCTTCTTGTTCAAGATCTTTTTTATTCTTCGGAAGTAAATGTTGTCGTTTTTCTTGTCTCCTCTATTGTGGTTTTTTGTGACTGTGGGGCACTTGCTATATGCTTCGCTGACAGGTCTATCTCTTTATTACCTCCTCTCCACACTTCTCCTGTCCGACTGATATCCCAGTGTCCTCGCTGTAAATTATGTTAGATGAATGAGCTATTCAGTGTATTAATTTTTAGCTTTTAGATAATTCGATGTCATCCACTTAGAAAAGATGGCTGATGGTAATTACGCTCTTGAACTTGTATCCACTTCTTGTGATTGTCTAGCTAAGGGAGTTTAGAACGATGCAGAACAATAGTGGGAAAAGTGCGGCATCTTGATATGTGCTGAATTGAAACTTAGTGGCTATGATGCCTGATAATATTTTCCGTATTATATATATATATATATATATATGTACATGTAAAATATATATATATATAAAATATATATATATATGTACATGTAAAATTTTTCTCTAGCGGTGGTTATGAGTGGTCATCTTCAACTTCGGGTCCTTTGCCAGAGGCCTGGGAGGGTTCTGAGCGATATCCTAGCTGTTGCTAATAGTGCGCTATTCTGAATAGAGATTTCTAATGTGGTTCCTGGAATCTGCTGAAACATTTTCCACTTTAAGGATGACAATTCCAAGTGCTCCAGTTATTACTGGATTATTTTCGCCTTTATTTTTCACATCTATAGTTTCTAACTTCTAATTTCTCTAACTTCTCGTATTCCTTTTTTCTGGCGTTTCCTTTTCTTAATATTGCTATATCAGTCACCAGTGCTAATTTCTGATTCTTGTCTAATTTCTGATTCTTGTTTATTACCACCCCAGACCTCTGATAAAGGACTCGAGGTTGAAGATGGTCGTTCTTTCTTCTTCTAACAGCTCTCACCATTACTGGTTGGGCTGGCTCCAGCGGCTATAAGGGTAAGATGCTTCCAAGCGGCGCGATCTATACCATCATCGACAGTAATCGACAGAAGCCATTCCTTTTTCCATTGTCTAAGTCCATATATTGCTGGTCCACCTATACGTTCAAAATCTTTTCTTACTGTATCAATACAGTCTTGATTGGTCTACCTCGCTTCTTACGCCACCCAATACAACAACAACAATGGTTTTGCAAACAATGAAATATGTGTTAACTCCTCTGGTGGGCGACGAAAAACATACCCGAACCAGCGAAGGCGACTGTCTATGGTAATATTAATACAGGTGGTAATTGAACGAAGTTGGATGCCATCATATGATATCTTATCGGTTCGATGGATCCGTAATATGTACCTTAGATAAGAGTGGACAAAGGCAGATAGCTTCTTAATATCCTCCACTCTCATTGGCCATGTCTCAGAACCATATAGCAGCAAGATCGAACGGATCGCGACTATATATGTGGTCTTTCGTTTTATGGTGATTCCACGACGACTCCATAAAAGTTTCGTCAAGCGTAAGAACGTGATCGTGATCCGAGCTGCCGTGATCCGAGTTTAATCTCGTCTTTTGTCTGGTCATTTGCTATTAGAGTGGACCCAAGGTAAAACTGGGCACTTCCTCAACCGGCAATGAATTGATAAAAATAGGTATTTTATCAGTATGTTTCTTGCACATAAGACGAAAAGACTCGTTTTTTTTTACGTTGATCCTGAATCCGATTCTTGCTGCATGTTATTTAGAATTATTTGCATTTCGTCATAACTGTTAGCAAAAGATATATCATCAACGTATTCAAAATCCGTGATACGATGCTCTGGACTGATGTGGACACCTCTTAATTGCTGAAAAGCGGTGTCCATTATCCAGTCTATCGCATAGTTGAATATTGTAGGGGAAAGGATGTAGCTCTGATGAACATCAGTTCTTATTTCAAAGGAGTATGTCAGACCTGCGCCGACGTGCGCTTATAAAATGTCTTTATGAGTCGAATGATTTTTTCTGTCGCATTTTATCGCCCTCCAAAGTGCCGCTCTATCAATTGAATCAAAGGCAGCCGCAAAGTCGATGAAACACGTGACAGTGGGTTGCAAATATCTGAAATGTTCCAACTTTCCTTCTTAACGTGAATATCTGGTCAGCACAACGGCGCCCTGGTTTGAAACCAGCTTAATTAGGGTGCATCCTGCTCTCCCGTACTTCCATAAGTCAAGGGTTATTGAGTATCAGGGAAGCAAAAATTTTCGTCTAGTAGGCTGATTACTCAATAATCGTCGCAGTATGTCCTATCATCTTTCTTGAGATTTGGAAGCAGAATTGCTTTGCTCCAATCATCTGGTAATATTTCTTTTTTCCATACTAAAGAGTATTTTTGTTGAAGGTGTATTATGAAGGACGATGGACTGCATTTGAAAAGCTCAGCCCGATGACTATCTTCTCCTGGAGTTTTGTTGGCCTTAAGCTTATGGATAACTGAAACTATTCCTTCTTCTATTGGAGATTCGCAATTGCAAACGTATGATTCGGCAAACGTATCAGCTATATCAGGGGGATTGCGCTTTATGGTTAAATTTGGCCTCAAAGGATTCTTTCCATCTTATGAGGCGATCCTTAATATTTTTAATTAGTATGCCATTGCTGTCTCTTTCCATTTTACTGATCGTTCCCCGAGTCACAGTTGCAGAAGAAGGCGAAATGGTTTCCTATTATCACCTAATCGAGCCGCCGTCTCCATTTCTTAAGGTCATGTCACTCCAATAGTGATTTCTGTCCCGCCGTGCTGCTTTCGTTGCAAATCTTTGAAGTACCCGGCAGTCAGAATTACTTGACATTCGTGCTTTGGCACCTTTTTCAGACAATTGAGCAATTATCACTCTCATAAAGTGTGAGAAAGATTTTTTATACATATATATATGTTTCAATCCTTTTAAAAAATAAGAAAATAAATACCAGTTTATTTTTGCCTCTGATTAGTTTCTTCACTGTTATTCTCGTTTTATAAATATGAGTGCGAAAATGTTACTGCGTTTGATTCTTTTTTTTATTTTGTAAATTGTTCTGTTTTGTTTAATATTCTAGTTGTAGGCTTAGGCTTCTTAAGCTATGTTTACAACAATATTCTAAGGCTTTATCATTCCAATATTAATGGGAGCAGAATAGTGGAATAGTATTCATTCATCGTGTCGAGAAGAAAATGTATGCTTTAGCGACAGTCATTAGTAAATCCAGGTGGTATTGGCGATCTTATTTTTATCTCCAAATGATTCACTCCTGGTCAAATTTTTTGATAGTCATTCCGATTCATTTATTTATTCATTTATTTCAATATTAGTGGGATATTGTGGAATATTTCAAATATTTTGTAAATTGTTCTGTTTTGTTTAATATTCTAGTTGTAGGCTTAGGCTTCTTAAGCTATGTTTGATGCTGTAAATGTTATGTTGAAATTAAAAAATTGCTGTTTTATAATTACCAGTGACTTTAATAAAATATTCATTATATCTTTAATGATGAATGAGATGCTTTTCTCCTCAAAATGCTTTTCGTTATAGTTTATCGATTTTATTAAATTTTTGCGATTTAAATTTTCAGTAAACAATATTATCAATTTTTTACCAATGAATCTATAAGAAATATCCTTCTTTTTTCTTCCGGGAACATCACTTTTGTTTTGCTTGGCCATGCTAAAATAAAGTACAGGTAAGTCGATGCTCCTTTCAAAAGATTCGAAGTCAAATCCATGATAAATGAATGACCTCAGTCGAAACAATTCCGCCATCCTGCTGTTCCTAAGAAATACCCACTTATTTCGATTTCAAATTGCCGAAAAAGTGAAGTAAAAATTTTTAATTTTAATGCTAGGGCATACTAGTAGGAAGTGCGCTAGTTGAGTATCGGAAGCAACTGTCCAGTTGTCTGAAAAAGCTGCCAAAGCACGAATGTCAGGTGATCCTGGCTACCGGGTGCTTCGAAGATTTGCAACGAAAGCAGCAAGGTGGAATAGAAATCTCTATTGGAGTGACATAGCCTCAAGAATGGAGGCAGCGGCTCGATTAGGCGACAATAGGAAACTATTTTGCCTTCTTCATAAAGCAAGTATGACTCGGGGAACGATCAGTGAAATGGTAAGAGACAGCAATGGCGTACTAATTAAAAGTATTAAGGATAGCCTCATAAGATGGAAAGAATTCTTTGAAGCCAAATTCAACCATGAAGCACCATTTATTGCCCCTAATATAGCTGATACGTTTGCTGAAGCATACGTTTGCAATTGCGAGCCTCCAATAGATGAGGAACAATTTCAGTTATCCATAAGCTTAAGGCCAACAAAACTCCGGGAGAAGGTGGTCTTCAGGCTGAGTTTTTTAAATGCTGCCCATCGTTCTTCGTAATACACCTTCAACAAATGTATTCTTTAGTATGGAAAAAAGAAATATTACTAGATGATTGGAGCAAAGCAATTCTGCTTCCAAATCTCAAGAAAGGTGATAGGACATACTGACGATTATCGAGTAATCAGCCTACTAGACGAAAATTTTTTGCTTCCCTACTACTCAACAGACTTATGGAAATACGGGAGAGCAGGATTCGCCCTAATTAAGCTGGTTTCAGAACAGGGCGCGGTTGTGCTGACCAGATATTCACGTTAAGAAGGGTGTAGGAACATCGCTTCAGATATTTGCAACCTACTGTCACGTGTTTCATCGATTTTACGGTTGCCTCTGATTCAATTGATAGAGCGGTGCTTTGGAGGGTGATTGATGGTGCTCCATAGAAAATCATTAGACTCATAAAGGCATTTTATGAGCGCACGTTGGCCCAGTTCTGTGTATATGGGGAGCTTCGAAATAAGAACAGGTATCCGTCAGGGCTGCATCCTTTCTCCCACAATATTCAACTATGCGATAGACTTGATAATGGACACAGCTTGTCGGCAATCAAGAGGTGTCCGAATTACTCCAGAGCATCGTATCACAGATCTTGAATACGCTGATAATGTAGTTCTTTTTGCTGACAGTTTTAACGAAATGCAAATAATACTAAATAACGTGTCAAAAACTGCAGCAAGAATCGGGCTCTTAGGATCAATGTAAATAAAACGAAAGTCTTTTCGTCTTATGTGCAAGAAGCTGGTAAAATTCATTACCGATTGAAGAAGTGCTTGATTTCAAATGCCTTGGGTCCACTCTAATACCAAATAGGCAAACGATGATATTACAATTCGGATCACGGCAGCTAGAAATGCGTTCTTCCGGTTGGCGAAATCTTTATGGAGTCGTCGTGAAATCACCATAAAAACGAAAGTCCGCATCTATATTGCCGTGATCCTTTCGATCTTTATATATGGCTCTGAGACATGGCCAATGAGAATGGAGATTATTAAGAAGTTATCTGCCTTTGACCACTCTTGTCTAAGGTATATTTTACGGGTTCGCCGAGTAAATAAAATTTCGCAAGATCGCATCCACCTTCGTTCAAATATCACTTGCATAAATAATGTTATCACAGAGCGCCGCCTTCGTTGGTTAAGACATATTCTCCGTCGTCCACCACAGGAGCATATTTCGTTATTTGTTAAACCATGTGACGGTTGACGTCAAAAGCGAGATGGACCAATCAAAACCTGGACTGATACGGTGAGAAAAGATTTTGAACCTATAGGTGGGCCAGCAATATATGGACTTAGACGATGGAAAAAGGAATGGTTTCCATCACTGTCGACGATGGCATCAGACCGCGCCGCTTGGCAGCGTCTTACCCTTGTAGCCGTTAGAGCCAGCCTAACCAGTAATTGTGAGAGCTGTTAGAAGACGAAGAATTTTAAATCAAAAGTTTATTCCAAATTTAACTTAAATCACTTATTTAAAGTCTTTCCCTTTAATGCATTTTTTAAATCGAAGTGTAATTACTTAGGGAATTAAAATTGCTGTTTAAAACTAATTTTTTTATTTCTTCCAGAAAAAAATTTTTCATTGTTTCGAGAATTTGGTGGAAAACGATCAAAAAAATGTTTTCGTTTCCTCGTTATTTAATTCCTCGACGCCGCGAAAATATTTTGAATATTATTTTATTTGCTATTCTTTTATCTTTTTTTATATTTATTCGCTTAAATGATGATGTAAAATATAAAATGCCTCAACACTCAGTTAGTATTCTTCTATTTTTATTCGATTTCGATTTCGATTTAAGGAATTGTTAAATAAAATAATTTTTCGATTTAAGGAATTCTTTAATAAATAATTTAATTGTTCAATTGTTATATAAAAATTAAAATTTTTTAGGGAATCACATGGCCTCCACCATATACAATTGTAATGGATCATATCATACCAGATTATGATAAGAAACGAAATGGTCCAGGTGAAAATGGTGCAGCGGTTAGGCTAAATAGAAGAGAAGCGATTCGTGGAAAAGCTGATATGAAGAAATGGTTCATGAATGTTGTTGCTAGGTGAAATTTCTTTCAAAAGAATTTTATTATTAATTTGATATTTCAATGGTTTAATATGGTTAATATGGTTTTAATTTTTAGCGATAAAATTTCCTTGGATCGAAACATACCAGATGCGCGAAATCCAGCTTGTTTTACTGTCAGCTATGGCAATGATTTGCCGCATGCAACAGTTGTGATTATATTTACAGATGAAGCCTGGTCGCCACTTTTACGCACAGTGCATTCGGTTATAAATCGTTCACCTTTAAAGTTTCTTGACGAAGTTCTACTTGTTGATGATTTTAGTCAAAGAGGTTCGATTTATCAAATTCTTTTTCGAATTTTTTAATCAAATCTTTTAAATATTAGATGAACTACATGAAAAGCTAGATGATTACATCAAACGTTTTGGAAAATTGGTTCGCTTAATTCGCCTCAAAGAGCGCCATGGTTTGATTCGTGCAAAACTTGAAGGAGCTAAAGCAGCAAAAAGTGAAGTCATCGTGTTTTTAGATTCGCATTGTGAAGCAAATCATGGCTGGTTATTTTTTATATTTTTATTCTTTATTTGCTTTAATATGTTGCATATTATATATTATTGCAATTATTTTGTATTAATTTTGCAACAAAAAAATTCTGCCTAAATTTTTTTTTTATTTATATTTGTTTGCGAAAATTTTGCTCAGTTATAATTGATCAGTTATAGTTATGTGTTATTTCGATTTCATCAAATACAAGTTCGATTCATACAAGAGAGGAGTAAACTTATCATTAAAATTAGAAGCTGAGTGGCGTGCCATTCAATCTTAATAATCGATTCATGATATCAATTTTGATGCTTGCAGGTTAGAACCATTACTTCTTCGATTGAAAGAAAAAAGATCTGCAGTTATTTGTCCAATTATTGACTATATTTCTGCTGAAAATATGCAATATATAGTTTCGGAACCTGATGGCGTTGGAGGATTTTGGTGGAGTTTGCATTTTCGCTGGGATATATTAAGCAAAACAGAAATTAATAGACGTAAAACAGCTATTGAACCTATCAGGTGTTTCAAAAAATTTTCAAAAAATATTCTCATATATCTCATATAATTCATTTTTTCTTCAAGATCTGTGGTTGCGACTTTGCGACCAGTTGACCAGTTTCTATGACTTAAATTATGTTGGAATGACTTAAATTACTTTTGTTTGAAGATCTCCTACTATGGCTGGCGGTCTTTTGGCAGCGAATCGACAATATTTTCTGGACATTGGTGGCTATGATCCAGGGATGGATATTTGGGGTGCCGAAAATCTGGAAATTTCGTTCAGAGTGATTCCTTGCATTCCTGTTTTTCATTGCACTGGAAACTAATTTCATTAAAATGAAATCATTCTTTGGTTTATTTTATTTTATGATTCTAAACATATTTTATTCAGGTAAATTTTATTTTTAGGTGTGGATGTGTGGTGGTACCATTGAGTTTATTCCTTGTTCTCATGTTGGTCATATTTTTCGAGCTGGTCATCCATATAATATGACTGGGAGGGATGGAAATAAGGATGTGCATGGAATTAATTCAAAGAGATTAGCTGAAGTTTGGATGGATGATTATAAGCGTTTGTTCTACTATCATCGACTTGACCTTGTGGTTCGAACTTTTGGTTCTTTTATTTTTCTATTGATTTTATATATTTTACTCTTTTTATTTAATAAAATTTCAATAAAATTAAATCTTTAAGTATCCAACTTATAGAAAAAGGATGCAGGTGATCTTTCTGAAAGAAAAGCGTTAAGGCAACAACTGAAATGTAAGTCGTTCAAGTGGTATTTAAATAATGTTGCTCCAGATAAATTCATTTTGGATGAAGATGTTGCTGCTTTTGGAGCGGTAAGAAAATTTTTCCGTTTGCAAAAGAAAAAATTTCTTTTTTGATCTTGCCTATTGTTCTTTTCAGTTGATTCATTATAATTTCGTATCTATGAGTTAAATTAAAGATCTCAAACATTGCAATTTATCAATTTCTTTCTTTGCATAAAGTGAATTTTGGATGTGAATTTTACTGCGCAATATGAAGTTTGAAAAATTTTATGTGCTTTTTTATTTAAAATTTTTTTATTTTTAAAAATTTTTGGGCAGATTGATTCTAAACATATTTTATTCAGGTAAAAAATCCGAAATACGATGTTTGCCTAGATACACTACAAAAAGATGAAAAAAACCCCATAAATTTAGGTTTATTTTCATGTCAGTCAGGTGGAAGTTCTGCACAAGTAATTCTTTTTATCTCAGTCTTTTCAATATTTTTTTCAGACAAAATATTTAAGTACATTAGTACATTAGTTTGTAGTACATTAGTTTTATTTCCAGCTTTTCTCGCTTACTAATGATGGTCGTTTGCGACGGGAAAGTTCTTGTGCAAAAGCTGTAAGACATCGGGAAGATGGTCCAGGTATTGTTCGCATGGTGGATTGTGCAGGTTCCAATTTAAAATGGGTATATTTGGTAATATTTAGTTTTCATTTCATTTTTGATTATATTTTTTTACTTATATATATATAAGACGTTATTTAATGTGCTAGAAAAAAATTTTTTTTTGTAGAATTAGAAAGTTATGAAAATATTTAAAATTCATTTATGACTTTATAGAATGGATCTCTAAAGCATTTGGGTAGTGAGCTATGTTTGGATGCAGCTGGTTTAAACTATAACGATGATGTTCTTGTGCGTGAATGCTTAAATCAGGGATCTCAAATATGGCAATTTGTCAATTTCTATCCTCACGTACAGTGAATTTTGGATGTTAATATTTTTGGATGTAAATGTTACTTTGAAAAAAACTTCATTTACAGTTTTTACTTCAAGTGTTTTCATTTTTGTCTCTATTTCCAACTTCTTTTGTTTTATCTTAGTTCAAAATATGCTATTTTATATTTGTGGTTCGTCTTAAAGTTATTCGTTTCATTTATATGGCTTCAGAACTTTTTTTTATATTTTAATGTACATTTAAGATAGCGAATCTAATTATTACTTATTGTTGTTATGTAGGATCAATTATTTTATGAAATAAATGAAAATAATATTGTTTTTTTATGAAGTTGCATCGTTTTATAATTTATGGTGGTCTTACTTATAGCAAATACGAAATAAATTTAAATAAATTTATTTCATTTCTCTTTTCGTTATTTTGAAACATGTGTTTAAGTACTCAGTGCTTGCCTTGTTTTATTAGTTTATTTTATTCAATAACTTGTGATGTTTATTCGCTGTGATACAGTTTGTTGTTATTTGTGGTTATTTTTCTACGATCATTTATTTATATTTTTTATTTTTTATGTTTATTTATTATTTGCTAGTTGTGTTTTTAATTCTTTCATTTATTACTGTTTGCTATTATTAATTGTTTATATGAAATATACATTTCTTCAATATTGCTTCATATATATATATATATATATATATATATGTATATCAATTTAATTAATTAGCCCTAGCTTTCTGAAGCTTAATTATGCCTGATCTTTTTCTTGAAAATCTCTTTTATTTTTCGCTTCTTACATAATTTAGAAGTTTAATTGATCGTTAATAACCATTTCACTTTCCAGTTGAGGATGAGTGAAAACGGAGGGGAAATCGTTTCTGGCAATGCGACAGTTAGTTATCCAATTCATGTAAAATATTGTGGTGGTATGTTTTTGCTATCTTTAATTTGAATTATGAATTATTGGTATTAATTATTAATTTGAAATCTATGTTGCAAACTTGATCCATTCACTGTCGTTTCTTCACCTAAAAATTTTCAAAAAAGGATTTGGAAATTGTAATAAATTAAATTAAATTAAATATTCACGTACTATTCAAAGCTCTTTCAAATTTATCTTTTTTCATTTAAAATGTTTAAAATTTTTTTGGAGGTGGTCATTTTTTTATATCTTCTGGTAAATTAAAAAGGTATTTTCTATGAAATCCATTCTTAATATTTTTAAAGAATTTGAGAAAACGCTGAAGGTATAGAATATATAAAAATTTATTAGAAAAAACATTAATTGATTTTCAGAATATTTTAACACTCGTTTGTTACAATTTCAGCTTGTACGTTGCCACTAGAATATTGTGAATATAGTGGAATGGTAGATAAATGCCGTAAATGGCTAGAAGATTATTTACCGAATGAATTCGATAAACTTTGTGCAGGAAATGAGGAAACTGCTGAGTCAGAGAAAAAACATCAAAAACGTGGTGGCAAGGTAAATCTTTTCTTTCTTACTTGTAATAATTGGGAATTCTCAATTTTTTCTTGAATCATCGCTTTCTTCGGTGATTATTGGTAACGAAATCCGCAATTTTTTCTTCGCAATTTTCTCCGGAATTGCTCGAAATTATGGTTTCATTGAAATATCTCACAATTAGTCACTTAAATATTTTTTCAATATTAAATAATTTTTTTTATCTACATTTTTTAGGGTTTAAAAAGTACCGAAAAAATGGAATCAGACAAAAGCAAAAAAAAAGTGCTTCCCAAAGTAACGTTACAAAAATCATCTCGTGGTAAAAATAAATCCGTCACGGTAGTAAAAGGACTTGCACTTTTTGGTAATTTTCCGCGTTTTTATGATAGATTCACTATTCTTTTTAAATTCTTTAAAATTCAGCCTTTAACCAATTTGCAATTTTAAGGAGTTGATCTTAAAGCAGCAGCTAAATTGTTTGCTGCAAAATTCGCATGTGGCTCATCAGTAACAGCTCCGGATGAGATTGTAGTGCAAGGTGACGTGAAAGATGAGTTACTGGAGGTAATAACAGGTAAATGGCGCCAGATCGATGAAGGTTCCATAGAAGATTTAGGCGACCATAAGCGCTAACTGCTTCGCTGTAAAAAAACGATCAATCTACTTTATTTATTTATTTTATTTAATCTCAGGCTTGAAAATGAGAAAAATTTGTAAATAAACAAGTTTTACTATCCGCAGATATTTTTTACAAAATAAAATTTTAAAGCGCTAGCACTAGTAATAAAGCAATTTATTTGAAACGACCGCTTCACTCTAGTATTTTCTAAATCAGTGTATGGAATGGCGTCAGCGAACCATCTCTGACAAAAATTTCTAATTTTAGTTCTGTTAACCAAGGAACTAGGAACTGTTAGCATGTAACCACGTCCTCCATAGATGGAATTTTGCGACAATGAAAAAATAAAAACTGATACTCTATACTCTAAAATAAAAACTGAAATATTATAAATATTTGCTGAAGATGTTTAAATAGAAATCCTTTAATGGATGAAACTATTCAGCAAACAAACTCTTTCCAGTCAAGAAAGTGAGGAAGCAATAGTTCAGAATTTTGGAGAACTACGTTTTGATAATTTTATTTACAATCTTAAAAAAACATTGAACACGACATTAGAATCTTATCAATGAATAAACAATTTAAAAAAAAAAGATGGAAAAGTACACCGCAAATTATCTTCAAAACAAATTTACATCAAATTATTGACACCCGAATCTGAAATGCAGAGCTATATTCTATTTCCTATGGCAAATGCTGACTGCACCACAGCCAGATCTGATTTACAAATTTTATGTAAACTTATTTTAGATCCTAGAATAACTAAATGAATGACCAAGTTCATTGGAAACAAGTTTTAGAATTTCTATAAACTCTTATGAAAAACTAATATGGCAAAAAGGGAAGTTTAATTAGCTACAAAACAAAAGTATATTACTAGCGGCAAACACACTAAAATAAAAATTCAATTGGTTTTTTTCGAATTATTAAATAAATAATAAAATTAATGGATTGAATATATTAAATATCAGGTTTGTTTTTCGTTAACAAAGTTGTTAAGACTTCAAGCTAAGGGTAAAAAAATTCAAAAATTCTGGCCTTGGCAGTTCAAACCGCATTTCAAAAGAAATGAATTGCAATAAAAAAAATGAAGACGAAAAAACTTATAAAGATGGAAAATAAAAACAAAAACATTGGAAAAATTATCAATTTTCACAGTATCGGTGTGAAAGATGCCATCGGTTCCGATTCAGCTGTTAAATGATACAATAAAAACTGAGCACCAACAGCTGAAAAAATTTTTGCAAATATCATAAATTAAAAAAATTTAAATAAAATTTAAACAAAATTTCAAAACAGTACTTCATTCCCATTTGTAGTTTTCAATGATCAAGCAAATGATCAAGACTATAAAATTTTACTTTTGATAATTCTAAAAATTTTACAATTATCGTTCATTTGGGTAGAAAGATTCCTAATCGCCTCCACTAAATTAAAATCCTTGGAAAGATGCTCTCGAACTGTTTCATCTTTAATGACAAACATCATGAAATCAATTGTGCTTCGAACCACATCACCATCTTGACTATTTAACAATTCCCATATCTGATAAGCACCACTAAAAAAAACCATAAAGAATTAAGGAAAATTTTGGAACTTTAAGATCTTCAAGTACTAAACATGGGAAAGATTTTATTAAAGTGTGAAATCCTTTCTTAATAACTGAAATATTAATCTGGAAAAAATATGAAATTGTACCTAGAAGTTCTAGAAGTATTAAAAGGTCGTATAGTTTACAGATTTTTGGTTAAAAAAACAAACCAAGCGTATCGAATTGACGTAGCGAAATTTAAATTACAATTGGCCAACGCTCCTAATAGTGCATATGCCCTTTGTACAATATCTTTCTTTTGATTTGGTTTAGTACTCATCTGAAAGAAAAACTCTCTTATTAATGACAAGCAAAAAAGGGGTAATTATTAGCAACTAGAACAGAAATATTAGAATTAGAATATTAGAATATATAATAGAAAAGTAATTGGAATATTCCTGATGTTTAGACAAACTGAAACTGAAAGAAATATTTAGTTTTCTCAATGATTACCGATCGTCAAATTTATATTTTGTTTATTGATAATTTATTTTAAAATTCTCAATAATTAACAAAATGACATGATGGAATGGCTCAGTGGATTGCTGCTCTCATTTCGAAGGATAGGATTCTACTCTTAGCACGAATATTCTTTCAAAAACTACCATGCCTTTTAAAAATGAGTGATTTTAGCGATCCCCGTATTTCTATGGCTAAATGATTGACTCCCTGGTAAAATTTGTCCGAGAAACCAGTGGACAGAGCCTAACCAAAAATGGTGAGCTTTTTTATAAAAAAAAAGGTATAAAACGAATAAGATTAATCAAACCTATATTTGATCGAAATTACTTACCTCTAAAGTATTAACTGTTGTAGTTATAATTTCAAATAATACATCAATTAGAGAATTGTTATTAACATTAATATTAAACAAAATTGGAGGATGATTTAATTGATCAGCTTCAACAATGCGTAGGAATAACTGGAATATTTTTTCTTTATAATTCAAATCAAAATGATCTAAAATATTAATTACCAACAAAATTTGAAAATAAATCATAACAATCAAACTCAAACAATCAAACTTAATTGATGAAAAAAATTACAGAATTCACGAAAATAAAAATTATATGCTTACGTTAAGTGTATATAAACGAATTGTAAGATCGACTGAATTGGCTAACTCGAATAATAAAATCCAAGGAGTATCTTTTGATTTAACAAGCTGAATTGCTTTTATGAAAAAATGAATAATTCAATATAATACTTATCAAACAGAGAAATCACAAATTAAAAAATTTTTGCTCATTTAAAAATGAAAAATAAACGAAGAAAATTGCTTCGGGTTATTCGTGACAGCAACATTAGGAAGAACGAACATGAGAAACTAAAAAAATGCAAAGACTAGGAAGAGAAGCTGGAGATGTGGAAAAATAAAGCCAAAGTGTGCTGTAGCAGCATTTACTCTGCACTCCTTAAAAGTGGCTTCAACAGATTCCACAAACAATAACACCTTTGCGCGAAAGAGAATAGCTAAGATATTGCACAGAACTTCTAAATTTTTTGCTAGAATCGAGGTTGCGGAAGATACATACCACTTGGAGAGGGATGAGGGCAAAGAGAAAAAGAGAGAAAATATACATGCAAAATAATACTTTTTCCTTTTGAAACCATTAATAGAAAATATCTGAAAATATCTGATCTCTTTTCATAAAAGAGAAAAATTTTACCTGCTTTCTGGCACAGTTCGTTAATTCTGGTGTTGAACACCCGGTTGTAAATATATGTAATGCCCAAATTATCGAAGCAAAAAGATTTTTGATGGATACCTCTTGCCGCCTTTCATGAAATCTTAACAATAATCGGACTAAACCGTCAATAGCATTACACTGCACGATTATATCCTGAAATATTCGTTCAATTATTTTATATTTAGTTATTATTTTATCATTTTATATTTAAAAAATGCAAATAGATAATGAAAATGACGAAAATAAAGCAATTCAGGCTTAAAGATTTAAACATAACTGAATTGAAAATAATTATATAACCTTTAAAAAATTTAAATTTACAAAATTAAAATTTACAAAATTTAAAATTTACAAAATTTAAAAATTGGAAAATGAAAATCGAATGATAAATGGTAAATTTATGTATTTCGTTCATGAATAACACCAATAAATTTTTAAGAAATATCGTTAAAAGAACATTTTTTAAAAAAAGAGAGGGAAAACACCATACAGAATTGAAAAATAATATAATAAAAAATGTATTAAAAAATAAAACATAATAGAAATTTTAAAAGAATTACTTTATTGATGTTAACATTTTCTAATGTACTTGCAGAAACATTTCCAAGAAAATCAACAGCGACCATTAAAATAAGTGGATTTATACGATGGCTTTCCATCGCTCGCAAAATAAGCAATATAGTTTCACGATTATCAACCATGCGAACATCATTCAAATCACTTATAGCTCGTAAACAGAGTAAACTATCAAGAGCAACCCGTTCCGAACAATATGGATTTGCTAATAAACGCGATATTGTCTGTAAGAAAACTTGTATAAAATAAATTAAAAGAAATTAATTAATGTTAATAAACGAGAACCATCAAAAACTGAAATAAATTGTGGACAGTATTTAATCATAAAATTTAAAAAATCATAAGAGAAATATCAAAAAATAAACGTATACGTGCCTGTATACCACCAAATGCAACAAAGCGCATTCCATAAAACCTATCTTGAGAACATATCAGAGCATAAAGTGCACGAACTATACGATAAACTACGAGTTCATTCATTTCGCTCTTTAATAACTCCAGTAAAATTTTTAATCCATCTTTAGATTCGAAACATTTCTAAAATTAAGCATGTATAAAAAATAATGAATTTAGTTCCTTATATATTTTCTTTCCTTCGCAAGAGCTTTCATAAGTTCCTTATATATTTTCTTTCCTTCGCAAGAGCTTTAGGCTAGTTTCGGTGGCATGTCGGACCAAACAAATTTTGCAAGAGTCTCTTGGTGATAGAAATAAGGTGATTACTCGTGTCAGGCGTAGAACCTCAGCGCTTCGAATTGAGCAACAACCCACTAAGCCATTCTACTCCCGTTTGCTTTCAATTCAACTTTACGAAACAGCCCCAGGCAATAATCATAACTATTATATTTAACATAAACTTATTAAAAAAAACAAATCACATTAAAAAGAAAAATTTTCGATGAGTTTGAAAATTTTAGAAAAAAATCCTCAAGCACAACCGAATCAATATCCAGTAACTTCATTTCATACATATTCTCTTTTCCTACGCTATGAAATTAAACCGTTAAAAAAAATTTAGGCACTGAAGCAAGAAAAAATATAAGCGCTGGCACTGGATCATAAGAATAAAATCATTGATTATTTTCAATTCTGACTTTTCAAATTAAATCGTATCTTATTTCTACAGCCATTATCATTATACAATTTCGCAATTTTTCGTAATGAAATAAACATACGCGCATAATATCGTTTCCATTATAAACGCGACGTACAAGATCGTAAACATATTGCTTGGATTTTGACGTTTTTATGAAATATCTATCTCCATGTATTTCCATTTCTTTCATCACGGCAACGACTCGTGTAATAATCTGTAATTCACATAATAAAATAATAGAAAATTCTTTAATTTCTAAAATTTGATTTCTAAAATATTTTTGATGGTTTTTCAATAAATGGATTCATTTAATAATAACGATATTTTCATCAAAAATGTCCTCCTGCAATGAAAATTTTATATTGAAAACTAGAAAATTTTTTGTTTCTCTAACATTTTCTCGAACAGCCTTTCCACATTTTGATTTGTCTACCATTTCCAATAAAGAATGAACAGTATTCAATGCATATTTGCAATATTTCTGACTTGGGCTAAAATATGGAAAAATCGAATGATTTTAAACGCCTTATTAATATAAAACAATTGTAATTCCATAATATTATTAGACTAACCACAATTACTGAGCAGAATATTATACTCATTATACTTATTATACTCATCAAAAAATGTAAAAACAGAAAAATGAAAAAAAAGGAAAGAAAAAATATGATATGAATATAAAAAAATATAATATAAATATAAAAATATAATATAAATATGCAAACTGGTACCTCATCACCGAGAATGAGGCACGTATCAATATTAAAAATATCAGTATAATTCAGAAATACTTACTCCATCCAACGCACAAATGTTTCGAGCACCTCATCGCAATAATTTGCCATCCACTGAAAAAAAAGGATATAGGAGAACAATAAAACTAAAATTTTTATGGACAATCTTCTTATGGAGTTCAAAAGTTTAATAAAAAAGTAAAAGAAATAGCATATAATAAAGGGTTCAAAGAATTTCCTACAGCGATAAATCAAAAAATTTCACCAAAATAGTGATAAAAAATGAACCTTCGCCATAATTTGCTTTGATTTCCCATAAGCTGATAAATTTGACATAATTCGTAGTATAGTATCAATAATCTGAAACTAGTCCATTAATATTATCAGACTATTCAAGAAATTTATATTATTGATAAAAAAAGGCAATGTTTACATCCTGTTCAATATCATTTTGTCTTAACCATCGTTGCATTAAAGAGGACATCATTGTTTCCAGTTTCTGAATATCAGCTCGTTCAAAATCATTCTGTATAGTCATCATAAATATTATTCGCATTATTTCATACTGCATTTTCTAAAATTTTTGCGAAATAAATTTCTGCGAAAAAGAATAAAGAAACAAATGCATCTGAGAAAATATATTTAAATTAGTGAAAAAAGAGGTAAAATATGAAATAGTAGGAAAACATTATTTTTGAAAAATTAATATAAGCAAATATTTTGAATCAAATATTCTGTTTTGAAAAACAAATAAATAAGCAAAATTCGATATTAATATTGATGAAGGAAGACATCGATGAATTTTCAAAAGTTTTTCAAATTTTCAAATCTCAATTTTTCCACTTTTTCAAAAGAGTTTTTATTAAATTTTGAGGCATGATCTACCGTTTCTATATACTTCTGAGGCCTATATCAAATTCTGAGACTGAGTTTTAGAACAAATTCTACAGTATTTTTTAAAATTATAACAAAATTGATATGCATAAAATCCACCTTATCAGCTGAACTAAGATTAGCATTTATCTTATCAAGATAACCGTTAACAAAATGCGTGTATTCCGTCCGATTGGGATCAACATTTTCTGCACATGACGAAGATGAAGATGGCGCGGATGAATGAAACGTTTTTCTCTGCAACATTACAAAATATCTTATAAAAAATGTAAGAAATGCTCATATTACAGAGATATAAAAAAACTATTTAAAAGAAACGCACCAAATCAGCTAACTGCTGAATGTCACTAATTTGAGTATTAACACTTAACATGCTCATATCGTCCGTTGTACCGCTTAAATGTGTCATACGAGAAACGAGTGATGATGTCTATAATCTTATATTTTTTAATTTTTTATATTTCATTTTTTCCAGAATCTGAATTTAAAAAATTTCATTTGATCATTAATTATTCATATTTTTATAAACGTATGATTTTCAATGTTTTACATTAAGTTATTAATTAAATTGCTTGTCTGTAAATATTTGGATAAAAAAAATAAGATCTAATTTCTTGAGTATTTCTAGCGTATGTTATCCAAATTAAGAGCACTTTTTCTATAAATTCAGTATTACGATTCAAAGATTCTCCTTTTGATGAGGGCTTCCCAGTGACTTTGTAGCGAAAAGCTCATATTTATGTAAATAGCCAGTGCAACTAAGCTAAAATAGAAAAGTGTGTCTGACTATACTTTTTGTAAATATTCTTCGCTAAGAAAACATCTAAAAATAAAGGGGAGTTTTTCATCTTCGAAATCAAAAAAGCGATTTTGCCAAAAAAAACTAGCTAAATTTTTTTTTAGATAATCAACCTGATTAAACGGTTATCAGATGCATGGTGAAATCAGGCGAATTTGAAATATTAAAATAAAAAACAGGAAGAAACGAACAGAAGGTTGTTGCTGTGGAACATTATAAAAGCGATGTTCATTCATCCATGTCTGAGTATTCACCATTTTTCTTCCATCAACCATTCGTTCACCATTAAAATTATAACTTTCCGATTGAGATGGTGCAATCTGTGGTTGTGTTTGTGCTACCATGTTGCTATTCGCCACTGGTCCTTGCACAGATGTTGACGATGATGATGGTGGATAATGCATCCTAATGGAAAATTTTTACTTTTTTCCATTTTTTTCCTAGTCTTTGCCCATATGCCAATTATCCACACGGGGTGATCGCCTTTAAGCGAAAAATGATATGCTTTCTGCTTTCATTAACCATACACCTAACTAAGCGAATGACTGACTGATTCCAGTTCACTAGTTCTAGACAAATTTTTAAAAAATTTTAGACAGCAGAAAAGAAAGCAACGACAAACTTAGATTGCGGATGAAGAGAAGGATTTGCAGGATACTGAAGATGATTAAGGGGAGGATAAGATGAAGAACTGTAAGAAGAAACTGAAGGAATTTGCTGATCATATACAGAAGTTATTTGCTGCTGCTGTTGCTGTTGTTGTTGCTGTTGCAAGTGCTGAGGAATGTTCACCCCCATATACATCTAAAAGAGTTTCTCAAAACTAAAAGTTTCTTTTGAAATTAACTTCCGATGAATTCAGACCAACATGAACGGCTCATTTATAAAAGAGCCAGGCCAATGAATAGAAACTTAGGTTACAGTGGCCATGAGAAGAATTTCGAAAATTCAGAAACAAAACAAATCTTCTCTCGGATAGGAATAAAGTGCAAGTAAAAGGTGCCGAAAAATATTACTAATATTACTAATGAAATTAACAATATTTAGATGAATTCTCTCGGACTTATTTCGGTAAAACTGACATAACGAACAAAACAAAAATATGCGAAAAGTGTGGGAAAAATGAGAGTTAGGGATTCCCCGTGGGAAAACACCGCTCAACTTTTTTTCGAATATCGATGACATCACTCAATAAGTGAATAAACTTACTTATTAAAAACTATTTGCTGAAAAAAATCCAAGGGTGTCGAAGACTAAAACAGTGTTTAAGAAATAAATTCCAAAATAAATTAACCAATTTTACAGAGAAAAACAAATTTTTAGAAAAGAAATTTCATTTTCGCGCCAAAATTGCGGAAAATCTCATTGAAATTTTTAAAATTCGAGGAAATAATGAGTTTCTCGAAATTGGCGCGAAAATTCGCTTTTAAAAATTCACATCTATTGGGACACTTAGGGCAGCAAATAAATAAAGCAAATGGGAATGGGACGACATACAGTTTTGGGTTGGCGAAGGACGGTGGACACTGGGACAATGTGGGTGCCAGTGGACCGAATTAAGCGGAAACAAACGAAAAAGGAGGAAGGGAAATTCGAAAATTTGAATCAGTCGATAATAAAGAGAAAAAGAGGAAAAGGTCGACTAACAGTGATTTGACCTTTAACCCTAATTAGAGATGGTTATTAGAGAATGGAAGCGAAGCGCATTAAATTGGTGTTTGTATCACTACACACGTATTGGATGCTGAACGCTTAGAAAGCGCTTCGGCGATGTTCTCTTGGCCTCACATCAGGCCAAAAGTTGCAAAGTTGATAGCGAAAGAGAAGGGGAAAAGGCGCGAAAATTAGAAGCAAATTGTTAGTTCGTGGATGAGGTAAGTTTGAAGGAAATAGAATATAAAGTTGGGAATAAATCAGATTAAACTGTGATAATCATCAACATCTAAATATCAACCGTTTTCATGATAAAAGAATAGTGATAACACAAGGATAAAGGCAAATAAGGCAGTAATTTCTGATTACGCTAGCTCGGCTGGATATTATCGTAAATTTTTAGCAGGATCAGTTGGCGATTGAAATACAGCTGTGTCACTAGCACCACTCAGATTTTCACTCTCCTGGTCCAGCGAATCATACTTTTGATGTTCGACGCAAACGAAAGCAATCGTTCCACTCGATCAACTTCATACCAATGTTAAGGATAAGTTGAGGATGTCACCAGTAAGTCATCACATAATCGTATTAAGAGGTAGCATTTTTTTAACCAAACTTTCTCAAATTTTTTGGTGCAAACATTTTTTCTTTTTTTTTGCATTATTAATATTAATAATTTAAATTAATATTATATATTATTTTTATTTATATTTTGAATGAGCGCATCGCAAATTTATTTTTTCCTTTATTTTTTCTTAAATTGAATTTATTTGAATTTTTCTAATATTTGCATTTGTATTTGTAATAATACTTTATACTAATGTTGAATTATAATGAGAAAATTAAATAATCATTAAAAGTGAAATCGTACTGGTGTTAGGTACTCAAATGGTGCAGTTATTTTTCTATTCCCAAGTTTCACTTCTCTGATAAAGAGCCTCATCACTGTAGTTGGCGTAGTGATAAAAGTGATAAGGAACATCATCACTATAGTTAGCAGAGTTAAACCGAAAATGATGAATGTCATCAGAACAGGAGCGAGAATTTGGAGTTTATTGTGAACGAAGCATATTAAATTCTTTCCAACTTTAGTTATTATAATTATTCTGATTAGAAAATATGAAAGCAGTCACTGATGACTAATGATCACCTGATCATCCGCTTATTAATCCACTAATTCTAGTAAATTTAAATTAAAATCTTAATTTGTTTATTAATGAACAAGACGTGATGCAGTGCGCAGTCATAATGAACTAAAGAACAAATTCTCGCTCTACCGGCTTAATACTAAGGAGTGGAGTGGAGAGGAGAGCGCTGGAGTTCGTTACAACTGCACATGCCACCCTGCCTGCATGTTTCTCTTAATGACATGGCACAGGGAAGCGGGCCTGTAATGGTTTAACTAACATGCCACTCGATCGCTGTGTCATTCATTCACAATGATCAAACGAGATGCTAAATTTAGAGTCCCGAAAATGGTAATTCTTCCGAATTGAACGGAAAATCGCTTCTCTCAAATAAATATGTATTAACAAAAATGAAGGAAAGTCACGGCTGAAAGTAAATTTTGCGGCGACCAACATGAACAAAAAAACTATTCTGTGGAAGTGTCAACTAATGTATAATTATGATCATAAAATATCAATTTCTTATTGGAATCTAATGAAAGGATGAAAATTTTTTTTGGAATTTGTTTGTTTGGCCTAACACGTCTATAAGCATAAAAGCCAATGTTATTGTTTGGTAAGAATTCGAGATAATTCATTTGGCTATTAGGGACTGATTTCATATCACTTATAATGGGGGGTTGGCTAGCTAATAGGTTAAAGGGTAATAAGCCAGATTATCGAGAGTTCAGCCCCGCTCTTAGCAGCTAAAATCCGGCTATACTGGTGAACTTCTGTGACTCCCTGACATGGACTTTTAATCACAGTCCTAACACCCAGCCGCGCTAATCTACCCTGGAAATAGTGGTCCTTAATTTCTCTTACGTGCTGCACGTAGAGTTTAAGAGTTCGTTGCTGAGCTGGCAAAATACATCAGATATCATTAAAAAATTATTTATATATTATATTATTTATAATTCCACTACGCTTTTGACTTGTAAAATTTGTGAATTTCATCAGAAAATTTTGTTAAAATTCAACTGGAAATTCCATATTTCTTAAGCTTAAGGTTTCTTAAGGTTTGAACCTTCATTGCGATTTTTTCTATGGAAACTTATCAAGCAAATGTTGGGCTATCGCCTTTGCACTTCAAAACTCTGTAGTACTACGTCGATTATTAAATCTTGGCATAACACCTTTTGAATACTTCTAGAGTTTCTGTTGTGCTCCTCAAAATCGGTCCCTTAGGACATCATATCACGTCATATTCAAATGATTCTCAACATTCTTTGAGCATTCAGTATTCTTTCTTATTTTAAACATAGCTGTACTTCCTGGCCATTTCTACGGATTCCATTAGAGCTCCTTTTTAATCGTTTTAATCTTTTTAAGGTTCCTGAATTTATTTTGCCTCCAAAACCCGCGAGGTTCCCTTGATAGATTCTCAAAACCCTATTGCAAAAGCCATCCATGCTCTTTAATGTGCCACCATGCCTCGTCATTTTTCAGCTTTTTTTCTTTCAACATTTGATGAATCAAGATGATATGTTCCATTCTCAATGATTTTGTTACTTAATCATTATTGTTTCTTCTTGTTCTAAGCAAGGGAAAGAATAAAAAGCAGATAGACTGTAAATATATTTGGGCCATTCCTTTAAGAGAAAACATTGCATACGGGTGGTATTGAATCTTAGCGATTTCTGCTGGCAACTTGGAAAATACGGATGCCGCTTGCCACTTGTACGCAAAGAAGGATCAGATCGGCCAATTCACTTTCCATGATTTTACTGCTCGTGTCCAAGGTATAAACTAAAGTTTTGCACAAATAACCAGATTGCGCTTATGTTCTAATTTCTCTTACTGAATCGCCAATTTCTCTTCTCTTCACACAATTACGAATTATAAAATTTGGTAGATGCAAATTCAGCTTAACATTCGCTGATTTTCCGAGATTTAGAAAAATTTTGGAAAGGGCTGGGAACTTGAAAAGAACTTGAAATAATCAAAAAAAAAATTTACATACAATCTCCATAAGAATTGCTTCAGATTTAGAAAAGCGGTTTCTTCTAATAATTTACTGAATTCTCATTAATTCTTATTAATTTTCCAGATTTATATAAAAGCCAGTTTAGTTCAAAAACGTATCGTTCAACAGATCGTTTATTCTATAATAGATATGAATAAATTTTGGTCGATTATTTGATCATTTGAAAGAGCAGGGAGGGCAGGGGAACCGTGCAGTAGAATGGAGGCAAATATCATTTTGAATCGGCTTATTGATAAGACGATTTGATGCTCAAACTTATCGAAAGTCTTATAGTCTTAGTCTTATCCTTGAATGAATGAATTTTTTTCTACATTTTGATTAAGGAAGCGATAAACACTGACCATTTCTGGTCAGGTTTATTCCACTGGTCAAATAGTGGTTATGAAAATATATGTGTGGTTAGAAATTTTTGCCAGGGGAATTACTTGACGATGGACGATGAAGAAATGAACTGACGGCATAGCCGATTTTTTAACGATAGCTATACTACATTGCTTCTCAACGTTGATTTTAATCGTCATCCTCGCTGGTGATGGTGTTCGTTTTGACTATCCATTCAAACCATTCTCTGTTGGTATTTGTTATTAAGAAACGTTTTGAAGCGCAACTTCTAAATCGAAGATGCAAATGCAGTAACTCATGAAAATAGTTCTATTTTTATATGGAAGCACATGAAGCGAAATGTCTTTTTCTTGATTGCTCGATTCCTCCGATTTTTTCTAAATTTAAACCCCCCAAATCTCGCGATTTGAGTTCCTCTGCTGTACTGTTTTGCTTCCAAAATCACTTTCAAGCTTATTTCTCTTGAAATCAGTTGATCGATACTGAATTATTATTGCAATTCGATTCAAGTTCAGAGCAAATCATTAGTAAGTTTGGAACGAATTTTGAATACGATTTTGGTCGGTGTTCTGCGCTATCCTTATCTATAGGCAGCCAAAGCGTCGCATTAACTCCAACATGGAATTTTATGAACGCGATGGAAGCGAGCGCGAGTT